AAGATCCAAAGAATTGAAATAAAAAAGAAAAAAAAAGAACAGTGAACCTCACTATGCTAGTACTACTTTCTTAATCAACATGGATTACTGATTAAGAGATGCTCTTAATCAAGCACTCCATGTTGATTAATAAAGTTGCTAAACTTACCTTTTTTTATATTTGCTGTATTTCTAACATTATATGCACATGTAGTGACATAGTAGCTAGTATTTACAAACATGACTGTATTATGATACTATATTTGAACACTATAAACAAATCAGTACTATACATTCAAACTAATTTGTTCTAAATACCACTACACAATTATTATTTTTAATGCAACAAAAATGCAGTAACAAATAACAACTATGCAAACAGTTGTTCACAGTAGAATGTCAAAGGACACCTATGATACTACTGTACTCAGTTCGTTAAGGTGAACTGATCAGATCCTAAAAACAAACGAGCAGTTATGGGAAAATGCTGACTGCCCTCATTATTACATAAGGAAATGAGAAAAAAGTGTCTGATAGTTGTTGTCCAAGCTCTTTATTTTATAATTTTCTTGTAAAAATTCTCCATTTTTTTCTTCAAGTACATTATTTGCAAGCCAAAGTAACATTCCAAATACCAATTAACTTTCCTTCCTCAAAACTACCCCTTTAGAAAGAAAAAAAAGGCAGGCATACCCACACTGGTATCCAAAAGCTTAACGGAAAATGCTTTCCCGCCCCTCCCTCCCTTGTACATCCCCCAGAACATTTGTGTCAGATCCATTCTGTCATGTTTGCCTCTTTTTTAAAACATTTGTAAAGATAAAATAACGCACTTTTGGCAAAGAACGTCTACACATAGATAGATTTGCTGAAAGATTTCATTTGTATTTAAACAGGAATACCTTCACTCCTCAAAACCCATTTTCTGCCTGAAATGAAAATACTTCAAGGGCATCTAAAACAGAACGTTCATGTAGATAAATATCGGCAAGCTCTTAAAAAAAAAAAATTAAAAAAAGTACTTACTTCAAATTTAAACCATTCAGAATTCCACTGAGGATTAAGTGATTTTGGATACACATCGGTCTTAAATGTTGTATTTCCAAATTTTACCTAGAAATATAAGCAATTATTAAAAAAAAAGCATTAATTAGTAGATTTAGAAACTGAGTTACTCATTAAATCTACACATGCAAATAATTTCAAATACATGTTTTAATAACATCAACAAGTTCTTTTCAGTGAGTTTCTTTTTGAATCTATGTTACATGTTTAAGCAACTTTCCATGTATCACCAATACTCCCAACAAACCTCTTTCCCCCTCTCATTTCAAAATTACTTCTTTTCCTCCTCAATCACTTTAGTTAAAAATAGCAGTTACGTTGGCTATTCAAAGTCACTTGGTACATCACCTTAGCAGTTGCTTGTCATTTGTTTAGAAATATTTTGAGCAAAAGCATTCTATATAAATGCTGATAGTTTATGTGCCATTACTCTTCTCTCTAGGGTTTCTACATCAGATTTATTGTCAAGTTATAAAAGAAACACAGAACCAAAATTATATCATTAGTCAACTTCTTTCTTAAAACATGTTGTCTTGATAGATCCGCACCAGAAAATACCTGAAACCATTTCCATGAACTGCAGTCGTGACATGCTAGACACGTATCAGTAAATTCACAGCAGCAAGGGGAAGAACCTTAACAGGCTCTAGTCCTCCCTTCTTATAGAAAATTCCAGAAAGCATAACAGCAAAAAGGACAGAGGAACTATGTATCTATATATATCCCTCTAATCTTCAATTAACACAGATTAAATATTCTACATACTTCTCTTGATTAAGGCTATTAAGCATTTATAGGTATGTATTGTAGGAATCTCCATTTGGTCTTCACAGCAGTCTATTTAAGGACCACCCCATTTGCTTGAAAAAGCATCTAACAGAATTTCTGTGACAATCCATACACCAAGAAACCATGCTACATAACCTAAGAGGTTTTATCTCATTGCACCTTTCATTCCAAGCCATTATGCATGCTTGTAATTCTGTGAATGGTACCTCTCAAAAGAATTAGTACTTCAACTTATAACAAGTACCTGATGTTACTGACAAATATGCAAAGTTTTTGAACGTATTCGAGATTCTTAAGAAAATAACGTGTGCTGATTTAAAAGACACGCTACAGTCAAAGACTGCTATGCATTCTGAATACAATTATCTTTAAAAGCACAAATAGATCTTGGAAATTAAATTCAGTCCTAGATTTGCAACACTACATAGCATTTTTTTTAAACACTAATTAAGGAAGTATTGATACTTAGATGTTTCAGCATGAAACATCAGTATGAGCATATGTCATTACATACATACATATATGTCAGTGTATGGTTGTTATTTTACATACGTGCGTAGCCCAACTCTAATGAGATTCTGTACTTACATACATACAGCTAGTTAGCTGAGCGCTGCAAAATTGGACTACAAGTTCCCATTAAACTCTGTATATTACCACACCTCGATCAACAGAACCCTACAGAACTCTATAGAGGCCCCCCACTTGATTCAATAAACAGTGGTGATTTTGGAAAAGATACTATTTTCAAAGTAAGCTTTCAAATTAAAAGTAAGAAGGGGTGTGAAGAACCAGAAGGGGGTTGGTCTGTTTTCCCACGTGCCTGATGACAAGATAAGGGGGAATGGGCTTAAGTTGCACCAGGAGAGTTTTAGGTTGGATGTTAGGAAGAACTTCTTTACTGAAAGGGTTGTGAGGCATTGGAACAGGCTGCCCAGGGAAGTGGTGGAATCACCATCCCTGGAGGTCTTTAGAAGACATTTAGATGTAGAGCTTAGCGATATGGTTTAGTGGAGGACTGTTAGTGTTAGGTCAGAGGTTGGACGCGATGATCTTTAGGTCTCTTCCAACCTAGAAATTCTGTGAATCTGTGATGAAAACACAGATCTAGCTACGTAAATGTAGATTCTGCTTAGGAGCATAGAAAACCTAGCAGCGTAACTACTCAGAATGTGTATTCATTGCACAAAGCTGTATAATAAAGCAATAATGATGCTAGTTTTAACAGAGCTGCTTTACACACAAGCTGCCAACATGCAATAGCCCAGAGCTCCACCCAGTCTAATTTTACATGTTATCTAGGGAGTAAATTAGCTCCCTCAGAGCCTCGGGCAGCTATAACTAAACTTTGCCAGTAGTCAAGTTAGTTCATTAAAGCTAGCAGAGGTAATCAAGCACTGCAGTGCTGTCCACTGTACAAATTTAGAAGCACAGATGCAGAATTGTGTTAATTTGCTCCAGACCACACATGCTGGCAAGTTATGCATAACCTCAAGTAACAGCTCTAAAGTCTTTCATTTCTTTTCTAATTCTAGATTTATGTTAGAATCTTTAAGAGGGAATTTTAAAGGCTAGTAGTCAACTAGTACTTTAATATTACTTCCACTTGTCATTTTAGGTTAAAAAGTTTTGTAAAGGCTTTCAGCAACCTCACATAAAAACAAAATGAGTTTTAGGCTCAATTTATTTTGACACGCTTCACCTGCAGCCATACTCACTCCACATGGCAAGGGTATGTCCCATATGTACCTGCAAGGTTAATTCCTGCCTTGATTTCTTCTTCCTAAACAGTGGTCCTAAAAGCAAGGCCCCATCTATGAATTTCTTCAGCCTTATTTGTGTCAAGACATTCATGAAGTTGCATGTTAATCTAGCTAAGCAAATTGATCTTGCTGAGTATATTGCCCTCTTCTTGTTGTTAAATTAGTGTTTAACCAGATTAATTTCTATAGCTACGCTGCCACGCAGCTACTCATGCTCTAGGGTTGGCGCAGAAGGTGCAGGTTTGGGAACCAGTGACTGAAGGGAAAGGTGAGCTGTCTCTCAAGGCAGCTCAAAAACAGGCTATGTGAAACAGAGCCACGCTTCCTACTGCTGTTTTCCCTGTCTCCTACTAATACACATCGGAGATGTTACCTCTTAATCATATTTAAATCGCATGATGATTTATTAGTAAGTTTAATTTAATGATGCAATTTCTGAAAGCAAACACTGAAGCATCACGTTTTCCTGTATTTAAGGCAGCAGAGCTGTGTAGCATTTCAGCTCCATTGAACAGCACGTCAGAAACACATTTTCACTTTATTTTCAATGAACTGTCTCATTAAGCAAACGCAGTGACAGTCAAATCTATGCGCACCAAATCAGATCTATTTTGAGATTAATACACGCAGGTTTTTTTCTATTTACAGAGTTCTGGAAGGACATTTTCTTTCACTTACACAGTTTAGAAGGACGCTGCCTCCCTGCCTCAGGGCAGCGCAGTGCCAGCCCCAGTTACTATCTATAGCACCCGCACGCGTTTATGCGGCACCCGTTCCCTTTCCACACGCATTCCCCCTCAGGCGCGGTTTCTGGGCGCTGGCAATGCCGCCGGCACGGCTCGGGGCCACGCAGGGCGCGCTGGCAGCACCGCGCCGCAGCCCCGCACCACGGGACGGGGCCGCCTCCGCTTCCCCCCCCCCACCCCCCCGGCGGGCCTGTGGCGGCGGGGCCCGGCAGGTGCCTGAGCGGCGGCGCTCCCCGCCCTCGATCCCCCCCCACCTCCACGAAGGCGTCAGTGAGGTCGCTGGCGCGGTCCATCACCGGCAAGTGGCGCCCGGCCACGATCTTGACCTTCAGCTTGCCCGGCATCTTCCTCCTCCTCCTCAGCCACCACCGCCGCCTCCCGCCACCGCCCGCAGGCACGCCGCGGCCCGCCGGGAGGGGGGGGCGAGGGGCCGGGCGCGCATGCGCCGCACCGCCCAACGTCCCGCAGCCGCCGCCGCCGCCGCCCGCCCATGCCCGGCGCGGCCGCTCAGCACCCGCCGCCGCCGCCGCCGCGGGGCGCGCCCTGACGCAAGCCGCCGGGCGCATGCGCTACGCGGCGGAGGAGCGCGGCGACTGGGGAGGGGGGGCGCTAGGACCCCGCGGCGCCCGCCCCTTGGTTGGGACACGCCCCCCAGCCAGGCCACGCCCCCGCGTGGCAACGCCCCGCCCGCAGCCGGGATGGCGGCCGGGGGCGCCGCAGCTCCCCTGCGCGGAGCCCTGCGGGCGGTACCTGGCGCTACAGCTCGGCTGCGGGCGGGCAGAGCGAGGCGGTGCGTGGGGGCCCTCGGGAGTGAAGGTGGCGCCTCCCCTCGGTCGTGCGTGCTCTGAAAGCAGCTCTTCGGAAACATCCGTGGTTCTCCCTTTATATCCCGTGTTTGAGCAGAGTGCTGGAGCTGTCATCCCAAGGCAGTATAGGAAAGAGCAAAGAGCCAGGGCGGGAATCAAAAGCAGAGGACTTGTTGCTAATGTTACAGCTTTAGGCCGGAAACTGGCAATTTTTAATAAAATACCTAGATCTCGCCTGCTTAAATGTTCTGGCTTGCAAATTGGAGCAGGTGCAGAACGCAGGCGCTGGAGATCTCATCCCGATTAGGCCAAACCAGAAAGCATACACGAGCAGCTCACCAAAGGTACTCCGGTTGTTTAAGGCCATGCAGGTCATGGCAGCAAATTAAAAATAATATGAAATTAAATCCCCTGAATTGCACGTGGTGTGGATGTTGGATCCTCAGCATTGTTTAGCCCTAAATACAGGCCATTAATCTGCTATGTTACTTGTAAACAGCCATTTCTGTAATGTAACTTCCCTATTAGGGTAGAAAATTACCAGCAGAGGGTGTGATGACAAGAAAAAAAGGAAAAAAAAAAAAAAAAAAACGACATTCTCTTGTGTGTTACATGTGTTAGATATGACGTTGTTTGGCCTTCATTAATTTTTGGGCTCTGTAGCCCAAGATTCAGAGCATAAACTAAGTTCCTGACTGTACATAAGTAGGAACGAAGTAAAGACAAACTTTATCATATATGATTTTATTTTTTTTCTGACGACACCCACTTGTTTGCTTCCTTTGCCAGATAAATTATCATGCAACGATTTTTAGGAAACTTTATGCAGTTACTGTGACTTTACTACACCTTGCGTTATGTAGAGTGGGTTTTTTCAGCTTTTGAAGATGTGAATACTTGAAACTTTTTGCTTTAATTTGGAAGAAGAAATTCCTAACCCATAAAGATTGAAACTGTCTTGTACGTTAGAAGGTAAAGAACACAAATTTAGTTTAGTTTTATCCCTTTAGAGATTGGTATGTGGCTCTGTGAAATTTGTTGGTGAAGTCAGGGTCTTCCTAAACCTGTCTTTCTACACTGAACACCAAACAAAAAAAACTCTGGAATTCTTTAGGGCTCACCAGAGGTTGGACAGTTTGACAGACTAATGGCCAGTTAATACAGTGAGTACCTGGCTAAATATACTGCCTTGTTAAATAAAATAGCTAAAGTTTGGGACAATCCTCAGACAATTCAACCTTTATTGTGCCCATTGCATGCTGTAAGGGAAGCATTCAAGAGAACTCTTAAGGCAATAAACTCTTCCAGACAGGTTCTGGTTAAGTTGCAGCATTCCTGATTCAAAGACCTCTCATATCTTCCCAGAAAATTCACTTCATTGCTTCTTATTACCCAGCTTAAAAAAAAAAAAATACATAAAAATGTTTCTAATTTTCAAACTGAATGCTGGAAGATGAAATACAAATCTGTTCTTGTTTTACCCACTGAACCTAGAGAACAGATTATCCCTTTAGAAACATTAGAAGACCCTTACTAGATTAAACTGCTAGCAACTGGTGCATATGCTTTTAGGTAACCTTTAGGTTTAACTTACAGCTTTTGGGGCCAGTAGGATCCACAGGTTAACTACTTGTATTGGGAAAATCTGTCTCCTTATTTTGATCTTGCAAACTGATTTAATTTGTGGATTCCTCTCTCTTATATTATGAAAGAATAATTTTTCCCTTTACTCATGCAACATTTTAAAGTTTTTTTTTTTTTTTAATGGATTTACCGTCTCTTTTTTTTTAATTATTATTTTTTAAAATAACTAATTCTTCCTTCTTTTTTTTTTTTTTTCCCCCATAGGGCTTTCTTCATGTGTCTGAACATTCTTAATTTCATCTGAAGACCCTCTGAACAGGCCATGTTTTTTCTGGAACTGTAGTATTTCAGATGAAAAAACATGTTCCAGGACCAGTGTTTCCTAGTGACCATGCTTCTCCCTGTCTGTGGAATAATGAAATACAGAGATTGATGTGTACATACTTCTATCTCTATCTTTTTCCTGAGGATCCAGCTTTATAAATGAAAACCTTAGTAGACTAAAATAAAATAAAATAAAATAAAATAAAATAAAATAGAAGAAACAAGTTCAAAATCTGTTTCTTACATAGTTGAAAGGATCAATAAAGATATGATTTAATGTTTTAAGAAACTTGCTTGGTGTGTTATATTCATCTTAGGGCTGAGGACTTTCCATACTGGCAGAATGAGACCTGTCTTCCCATCAATTAGCATGTCCTCTAACACATCTCATGTCAACAGCATTCCAGTTCCTCAGGGCCAGCAGGAATTTACAGAACGAGTAAGGTAGAAAGGACTCAGGCAAAAGTTCAGCCAAAGCCCTAGAACAGATAAACTATTTGAAGCATCTGAAAAAGCATTACGTTTCCTGCTGTTCAGGCAAATGTTCAATGTAATTAATATACTTTATAATATGTACTTTCTTGGTAATATGCATGTTCGAAGTCCATAGAAAATATCAAGAGATGTATTTTCATCATAAGAGCAGTAAAGATGTGAGGAACTGACTGCACTTTAGCATTCATTTTGTCTTCTGCCAATTTTTTTTCCTTTCTGCTTAAAAGTGGTGTTTTAGCAGGTTGTGACAAGTCCTGCTTCAGCTAGATAACAAGCCTGATAAACTTGCAGAACAGTATTTGAGCAGGTATTGTCATGTATTCAATGGCATTGTAAGCCAACATCTACAAACCAAGAACATTGCTAATTATAATTTTAAAGACATCTTGTGTGGAACAATGTGTGCCATAAAAATAAGATTTTTGTGTAGGGAAGCTGAGAGATTTTACCATCTAATTGTAAAGATTCATGCATCCTTGTTTTCTCCTTTCTCCCAGGTGTTTGAAATATGATAGGGTTTTTTTCTGCTTAAACTAGTATCTCATTACATGCTTTGATTTCCAACAAAGAGATTTCCCTTAGTTTAACCCTTAGTTTAGAAACTAATACTCCAAATAAAAGTTTTCCCCATAACTTTAGTCTGCTGACTAAACCTATCCCTTTAGGGTAGGTTTCAATGATACCGGCTTACTGACCTTCTTTAAGATACTGATTAGAAGGTGTTATGCTAAGCTTCCCCCAGGTTACAGTGTGACCTGAAGTGGGATGGGTTGTGTCTTAAACATTGAAAAGATCACTTTTTGATTATCCTGCATTAAGCTGATTTGAAGAAAACTGAATGAAGAAGTTTTGTTTGTTTGCTTTTACCTTGATGAAACACACCAACGAGACTTCATCAGAAGTCTAAAAATACTTTGAGGTATGTCTGCTTTTGCATAGGAGCATTCACAGAAGGTACTGGCTCTTTCTACTACTGTTACTGTGCCAATCAGTGTCTAGAACAGGACACTACTGTAATAGTTGTCAACTATTATTAACAAAGAAAATTTTGCAATACCAGTTTTAGGTTACTGGAAGAATGCCAGCGTTTCTCTGTAAAACTGCGCATTTCGAAGCTATCTGGCTGAAATCTAAAAGAGAACAATCCAAAAATATTTTTAATAATGCCATGAGGGTCTTGAATTCAGAGTTACATATATTTACATATACATATGTATTTTTAGATGTGTGTATGTATAATATCACTTAGTAATGAACCTCTGCTATCCCAGACAAAAAAACTCATATACACTCTGAGTACAAGTGTTAGGCTGTGCCCGCTATAAGGTTCTAGAAAAGGCAAAATCTGATCACTGCTACCTAATACTGCCTGTATGTATTTGCTGTAGCATTGGAACCCCTTCTGTCAACAAAAGATAGGGCATGACATCCTGTCTCAGTCAAATCAGTAAGGTGAAACTCTACCTCACTGAAATGAATAGGTGGATTTTATTATGATCTGTGGAGGGACCAAGACTTCATTGCTGAGGTTTCTAATTTTACCCTGGAGGTGTTGACTGCAGTTAACCTGTTTAAACAGAAGATTAAGAGCAGTCTTAATGTCTATCACTATCTACGTGGACAAATTGCTGATACCACGATGGTCTTTAATATAACAAGCAATGATTAGGAAAGAATGGAAGTCTGGAAAGAGTGGGACAAATTAAAACAGAAAATATGTGGACATGACTAATGGAAATGCAGGTTATCATTGAGTAAGTCATTGAAGTTACTTTTTTTTTCTTTTTATTGCTCATTGTCATAAATCATTTAAGTCATTGCGACTGCTTAGAGTCTGTAGTTTATTACTAAGGCTGCGTTTTATGCTGACGTATTTGTAAGAGAAATTTGTAAGAAAAGGCCGTTGGCCTTGTTAAGATAAGCAAGGATGTGACTGTACACAGCCTCCAGTCCTCCCTTATTGTCATCTCACTGCTAGGACAACTCCCTCCTGCCGGATCATTCACACAATATGGGTGAAAAACAAGCCTGAAGACAGCTCCAGCAGGAGGTTGTGAAAGCAAGCAATGAACAGTTTCCATCTAGTACTTGAGCCAAGAGGTTCATCTTGACCCTCAGTTACTTGGGGAGAATGTCATGGGCTCAGTTTTGCTGACTTCATCCTGCTTTGCGTAAAGCTATCTCTGCCAGTAATGTTTTCTAATCTTGATGCTGTAACTAGTAGGTAAAAATTGGATGGTCAGAATGAGGGACTTCCCTGATGGAATTAAACTGCCAGTGTATGCCATTACTTGTATCACATACTTCACTTTTTACTTCACTTTTTCCTGAATCTGTTCGAAGTAGTTCTGAGGCTAAGGGGATTAATTTGAGCTGACATTAGTGATATATGATAATATAGTCTATTGCTTTGTATTATGCAGAAACTGAAAGCAAAACTTATTTGGACTTTAAAAGAAGACAATATGTTGAAATTAATTTTTTGAAGTTAAAGATTGTCAAGAATTTTAAACGCTGTACTACTGATAGAACAGATAGTAAGATCCAGATAAATGTGCTAAAAATATGTATGAAAAAAGCCTACCTACCCAACAAAAACTTTTCTCCAATTCCAGTGACATTCTAAAATATTGTTCTTATACTGAGGTAGTGAATTGAGTAAAACCTGAGAGTCCTTTGAGGGAAAAACAGAAGCCTAGAGTTATTCTCAAGGCTTACATTTAGGGGATAAAAATAAGTACAATTATGTCTCAGACCTAAAACTGTATTTCTGAGTTAATTTATGTACACCTGTTTCCTGGATATCAAATTAAAGTATTTCTTTTGGAAGAAAGATCTCAACATTTTATTCTTTTGAATACGACATATTTCCAACAGTCCACTTTAGTCAATAACAATCTTCTGTTGAATTTAGCAGTTTGGGATTTGGTCCATATCAAGCAGTTTGTAAGAACAGAGACCCATTAAAATATTCCATTTCATGCTATTATTGCTGCAAGAAGGTCTCAATTTCCATATAGACTTGAAATAAATTGGATAAGATAAATAGCCACTAACACAGGAATGTACGCTATTACCTACTGGGGGAATCAAACAACTGGATCTGATGTCATGTTCTCAGCTAGTAATTGGATATCATTTATCTTTCTTACAGTTCTCTAAGAGAAGTAACATTGCATACAGCTTTGTGCATTTTACGAGCAATGAGTGGCAATGGCGTAATTGGGATATCAGTTCACAGAGATTGCAGCAGAATCCTGTGTACACAATGCTCTAAGAAAGATATTTAGTTACAAGCAGTACAATAATAACAGCTATTCAGAGTGCTTCAAACTTACAAAGCCTTAGTTAATTAGTCAACACCTAGTTAATAATTTAATTAAATGTAATTGTTAGCAGGAGTATTTATATCATTAGAAGATGATTAGTCCTTCAGTGACTTCCTCCTTCTAAGGGTTGAGTCAAACGAAACATTTAACTTTTGCACGATGTATTAGATTTGCACAGTTATTAAAATGGCTATATTTGCTGGGTTTTCTTCTTCTGCATGACATTGTTGGTATTTTGTCTTCCCTTTTCCTGTACAAATATAATAAATAGATCATTTATTCAAGTCCCACCCCAAAATATAGCAATATTAATGAACATGCATATTCATACATTCAAACTGCTGTCAGGATCAAAGATGACGGTCCTGAATTTCAAGGTAAGTTAATACTTATCAAAGCTATGATCCTTGCAGTTTGTCTTGTCAACAGCTAGGCAGCAAGAGTACATATATCCCGTGCAAATCAGTTTGTCTTAGAGGAGGCTGTTTTAGGGAGAGTAAGTCTGCATAAACTATCTATGGAGTAGTCTTCAAGATCCTTCACAAGATATGCATGCTATTTCCTGGTGCATTAAAGAGATTAAAATGGATTACAAGCAAAACAATAAATCTTTGTATTCTAAAACTTGGAGTGTGTGCAGTTCTTAAAAAACATGTGATGCTTTTGCTTCTGGTGTTTCACTTGGAATAGACATAATGTTGTGAGCTATTAAATGTTCAAAGTTTTTAATGCATAAACAAAAAAAATCATGAAGCAAACTCATTGAATTTTTGTTTTCAGCAGTATGTAATATTCAGCTTCTTGCAGAAGTGGAACACTGCCTTGTGTCTACACCGTGATGATACTCATTCGCTGTGAAAACATCTGACAGGCATTCACCTTGTTTATTTTAAGAATTTAAATTTCATGCCAAGCCAGAGGAGACAGGGAGGATACTGATTTGAGCTCTCTCTCCCCCATTAGTACAAAAGCATAAAAGCTAGGTTCCCAATTCAGGCTGGTAAAGTCATAAACTGTAAGCCTAAAGTAATCATAGAATATCCCAAGTTGAAAGGGACTCATCCTAATAATTCACTTTCTATGACTATCTAGTTTGTTGTGAAAAATATGTTCTACTGCTGCAGAAATTGTCATTCAAGCTCAGTTTAACAAAGTGGTCATGACACATCATGTAAACGAAGAAGTAACTGTGACTGCAAAGAGATGAAGCACTTCACAAGACAGAAGACCTCTCACTTCAGGTTCACAGTGGCAGGCGAGAAGGATGAACAAAGAGAAGAAGCTGTCTCTTTTTTATTCAGAGCTCTCAGGGAGTGGGGGTGGGCAGAAAGCCCCAACTAGAAGTTCCAAGTTCATTTTGTATTTTCTGCTGAGCATATGCATTGTGTCTTGTGGTGTGGCAAGAGAACCATGCTGCTGGTTCAGGGAGCAGAGCTAGGTGGGTTTAATGGCAAAATGTTA